TACAAAGACAGAGGAGGGGATCCCACTGTACTGCACGGGTTTCTGCTGGCCTTGTTCACTATACTCAGGTCCCCAAACAGCCCCAGAACCGTATCTGCTGTCATGCAGAGAATAAAGTGCTCATCATTTCTGCCACCAAGTGCCTTACGGGTCAGGATATGGCCTGCTGGGTGCTGTGCCTTAACTACGGCCACACACTGCAATCACTAGGAAAAACCTATCAGCCTTCAACTCTCAGGAGGCCAGCTAAAAATTGCTGCACTGGGGCTTGGGCACTTTTCCAATGAAAGTCGTTTTTACTCAAGGAATAAACTCAATTCTAGTTGAGTCATTTAATTCATAAATGAGTTAAACTTTATCAATATTTACCCTGAATTATTTCATTTATATGCTGTAAAATCAGAGCTTCCATTCCATTAAGAATCTGGTATCACCTAAGTGGATGGAAAATGATGTCTGCTACAACACAATCAAAATAATTTTGTAAAAATATTCTGTGGCCTGGGAGTATAGCTCAGGGACACAGCACTTGCCTAGCATATGTGGGGCCCCAGGTTTGAACCCCAGCACTACAAAACAAACAAAATAAAACAAAAGCCAACCCCCCCCCAAAATCCTGCAATCTGAACTGCTTTTAAATAAGTGAAACATTATAATCTAAGAATTAGCAAATTTGACAGCAGAAATTCAATAAAGCAATTTAGGATGATCTAGGAGCATATTCTGTGAAAGCTGACAATATGATGCCCTATGGGTATAATACAACTGCATCTTTTAATGATCTGAAAAACTTGCAACGAACACAAGGTATTAAGTGGAAAATATATAGGAAGACATGGCAATTAGGAGGCAAGCCAGTGACCAGGCCTCTCAAGAAGCAGCTCTTACTCTTTTATCTCTCAGATAAAGAAGCACTTAGCAAACCCACTACCTCAACTGCCTAAGTTCTGTGGCTACTTTAACAATACATTCTTCATAACTATTAATATACTTGTTAATCTCGTTCTCTCCTTTTTGGAATCCAAAACTGCCTGATTCTATAATTAGTAAATGTTCTAAAATTAACTTATAAATTACATTTGACCCGTTAAACAAAATGTCAACCAATTTAAAGGTTGATTTGGATTTTATTAATGATTCCTATCTCTCCTCTGAAGATTTAGAAAAGATATTCCAATGAGCTAGGCAGCAGAGCTAGGTCTATAGGCAGAAAAGCAAAAGCAGAGAACAAAAAGTAGGTTGGTCATTTTAAAGTTACTTTCCTTACAGGGTTAAATGGGTGGGGGTAGCCTCACCATGCCGGCTCAAGCACACGGGGCCCCTTCTGATTTATTGCTGAGAGTCACCCAGGGGATTTAAAAAAATTGGCCTATTTCAAAGTTCAGTTTGATGACTGGTCTCTAGCACTAGTGAGTCCATTCTGTCGGTCTGGTCTGCTGGGCCCTATTTAGCAGTTAGGTCCAAAACAACAGCCTCTTATACATTTCTTTTAACAATACTAATAAAACACCACTTTTAATCTTTTTTTTAAACAATGGAATGTAACTGCTAAGAAAATTCACTGCAGTAGGTGATTCCTAGTCTCCTGCAGATCTGAAATTCTATAGCCCTCAGAGTACTGGAGACATAATGGACAGATCAAGGTTCGCAGTAAGCCACCTTCTTGGGAATTACTTTAGGTAAAACACACAGATTAAGTCTAGAAATGCACAGCACAAGTATTGTTGCTGTGTGTAGGTAAAGACAAAAGGAATGTACAAAAACACCAGGTGGGCCTGCCATGGTGGTGCACCTGTAATCCTGGCTACTCAGGAGACTGAGGCAGGAGGATGGCAACTTTGAGTTCAGTCTGGCCAACACAAAAAGACCCTCCCTCAAAAACAAACATGAAAAAGCAAATCGAAGGTAGTAGTTGGATTAAAAATGAACTATTCAAAGTGTTTTCCAAAATTTCTGGGATATGACTTTGTATTTTGTTTTCTTCATTAGGGAGTAATCACGGTAGAGCTTAAAGATCAAAACTAATAAATTTAATATGATGGAATACTCCCAAATACAGCTAGTTCTTCATTGTAACTTATCTATGTCAATGCCAAAGGGATATTTAGACATTTCAAATTATACAGTGTGATTGGTAAGAGTAACGGTGTGCTAGTTAAACGGGATGTCAACTTGAAAGGGTTAAGAAACACCTAGGCTTAGTGGAGCACAGTTCTGGGTGTGTCTGTCTTCGGATGACTGACATGGAAGTGCAAACCGGGGAGAGAAAACCCACCTTGGATGTGGGTGGCACCAACTAACAGGTTTGTAGTCTGGATAGAATAAAAACGAAGTCTTCCTTTTTGCTTCTTTAGAGGAGCGCCAGTCTCCTGGGATGTTATCTCCCGTTCCCTCAGGCCCCCAGTACATTCTTCAGCCTTCTGATGCAGACCCTTTGGCTTTCTGACATGTACACACCCAGGATTCTCTGAACTCCAGGCCTTTGATCTTACACTGGATCCTCAAACACCTGAGTGTGAAGATGGCCATTTTGCATTCTTCTACTCCTGACTCTGCAGGTAACCCCTGTAAGCCTACTTAGTAAACCCTTTGTATGTCATATACATTTTTGATATCCAATCTGTTCCTCTTATGTACCCTAAATGACACAAATTTTGGTACCAGACAAGTGGGATCATTGCTGTGATGTTATCTGGCTACGTGATTCAGAAGCTTTGGAAACTGGTTCACAAGAGGCGTTTGCAAAGTTTTGGAGATACCATCTGGAGAAGCAGCCCTAGAATGCTATAAGCCAAGCTTTATGGGAGATTATGGTCAGAGCTCAGACCAGAATGCTGAAAAAAAGGCAGACGGCAAAGATGGCTCAGGAGGTTTCAGTTCCGAACTAGGACTCTACTGGCAGTTAGACTCCAGGCCAAGTTGTGTTATGCTCTGGCAGAAGGTTTGGGTACAATTGCGTATGTTCTGAGACTTTGTGAGAGACTGAGATTAACCACTTAACAGTTTATCCCAAGTATCATTTGGGCAGCATGTTTGTTTACCTACCAATTAACCTGAGCATCACTCAGACAGATGTCATTTCAATTATTTGATCCTTATACTGAATAAATTTGATAAAATTGTTGGTTTTTAAATTTCTGTTAATATTATCTTATAAAATTATTGAAAAAAATGCAGTTTTTGGTCATCCTGTATTTAAATAATTGGACTAGTAAGTGGTTAAGGTCTACTTAATCTGGCGGAAAAAATTTCAAGGCATTCCAACATATAGGCTGTGGCATGGGTACTGTTGGGGGCTTTTAGCTAGTTCTTCATTGAGAATGAGAACAAATAGCCAGTGAGTGATTTCAAAAGTTCTTAGTTTCACTAGAAGAGAGCTCCTGCAAAGTTGGGGCATGTAAAGCTGGAGCAGAGGAGAGTTTCGTTGTGGAAAAGGTCAAAAGGAGCCAAGTACTTTGGATCAGAACAAGAGAAAACCCACCTCATTCTGAAAAACAGCTCTACTTTCCTTGGGATAAAGTCCAAACCTCCTTCACACGGCTTAGCAGGCCCTTCAAGATTGGAATTCACTTCTGTGTCCACAAACTAAGCTCCAAGTTTTCTCTGAAGTCCTCAGAAACTATGTGAACTTTAAAGATGCCCAGGCTTTGTCAGCCTACTCTTTCTGACTAAATCCTACTCACACCTCTCACACCCACCCTTAACCTTCAACTTGGAAACCTCCAGCCTTTTAGAGATCCAAGTCAGGGTCAGGCCACCTTGCAAATGCTCCCTCAGACAATACGTACAGTATTTACCTCAGTGCATTGTCTTCTAGTCCACCCGAACCCTCCGGCCCTAGTTGACTATGAGCTTCTCTCGCAGGACTGGGCTTATTAAGTGTTTAGTTAGCCCACTTAAGTCTATAAATAATTCATGTGGAAGGTGCCAAACAAGTATTCTTGAATAAATGGAAGTCACTGTAGGGGACAAATTCAATGTTTATGACCCCCACCTGCCGCAAAATATCTTAACATTTTATTATAGAATATAATTCCTGCAGTATTGGGCGATTTTAGTCTGAGGCACTGTCATCTCCTGCTGGGCAACTACAACAACCTTGCTCCCCACATTTGCAGTAACTCAGCTCCTCATGACAGTTCTCCTCTACTGAGTAGCCAACGATCTTTTCAAAACATAAGAGACTAATCCCCCTCAGGGCATACAAGGTTCGGCATGACCTGCCCTCGGTCGTTATGAATCAATCCCTGTCCCCTCACCACGCTTCTGCTACAGCGACCTTCTTTCTTCGGTTTTTGTAAAGAGCAATATTCAGCATAGAGGCTTTGCACTTTTAATTCACTCTGCCTGGAAATTTATTCCCCCAGATCTTAGCATGGCTAGCTTTCTGCCATTCATATAGCCGCTCTCTCGGGGAACCTGACTACCTAAAACAGCCCATCACGTCCTAGTTAAACTCGACCCCATTATTTTGCTCGATTTTCTTCGTATAACCTGTCCCTGATTGTTCTGTGTTTCCGTGTCCCCTGATAACATGAAAGCAAAAGTGACTGCATTTATCTCGCTCACTGCTGTCTCCCCAACGATCTGAAGGGTGCCTAGCCAATACATACTTGAAAAATGATTAAATGCACTTACTAAACACATTTTAAAATCCCCATCTCGTATTTCCCCCACTCTCCAGTTGTCTTCACTCGCCAGAATCCGTGAGGATCGCTGTCCCTGAAGGAAAGCCCTTGCCTGGGTATCCCGATTCCAAAGACTGCTTTCTTTTTAGCCAGCGATCAATCCCCAGCTGGCAGCCAGGCGGTCTCGAGACCGACAGACTCACCAACGACGAGGCGCTTGCGTCAAAAAAGCTTGGAGGAAACGTTGTGGAACAGGGCCCCCTTCCCCTCGCTTCTAGAGACCGCCGCCTCCCCAGCTCCCAGACCAGCCCCTTAGTCTGCGGCACACACCGCTCCCGGAACCCAGCTCAACAACTCCTCGAGGTTACCAACCTGTCTGAGAGCTGGCTCGGTCCACTCAGCCTTGGCACCACCATTCCGGTCCATATCTGCCCCCTCTGCGCCACCGTAGTTCACGGGGGAGAAAAAGACAGCGAGTCTCTCTTCCCGCATGCGCACAGGCCCCCTCGGCGTACAGTGTCTCTTAGCAACCGCTTAGAGTCCCTCCATTAGGGGGCGGAGTCTCGAAAGCCACCTCGGGGAAGCTGCGGGGGAAGTGAATGAGGCCAATCGGAGAGGAGTCTCAGCCCAGAACGACACGCCTCCCTTCACTGTCGCGAATCCGCAGGCAGCTTTACGGCAGGCAGGGGGTGGGGGCTGCTGGGATAAGGAGGAGAGAAGGAAGCAACCAACCAACCAAGTCGCCCCCACCTCCCACCCCCACCCACTCCGGACCTGGTTTACGGCTCAGGGCTCAGGCTTCAGTGCGGCCGCTGATTGGTTGCTGCGAGCTTGGTCCCATCCCAGTGACCCCAAAGTGCTGGAGGGAGGGGGCGGGGGTGGCCCAGTGCAAAGTGCATCCCGAGACCCCTGTCCGGAGACCTAGCTGCTGGCACTTCAGACCCTGTACGAGCTGGGACTTCGCAGTCCCGAGACCTCCTGTGTCCCTCCCTAGCTGGAAGCCTCCGGCCCGGAGCGCCGCAGTCCCCTGCTCGGAGCCCCTGGACCGGGACTGCCCCCCCCAGCCGGGACTTCCTCCCTGCACCCTGCCCCGAGGCTGCCCGGCAGCCGGGACCGCCACCTTCGCCTGCTCGTCTGTCCTGATGCTCTCCCCGTTGGGGCCGTGAGGCACCGAGGAGGATCGAGAACACCCGAGTCTGGCCCTGCCCGGGGTGTTTCTTCAATGGAGAAGTTGGTGAGTGTGGAGGAGGCTGAAAGGAGGAAGAGGAGCAGCAGCTAAGGACACAGGTAAAGTCAGTTACCTCCCCAGAGGGGAAGAGGGCAGCCGGGGGGTCGGGAGGGCGGAGAATCACTGCTTCTGCCTTACCTGCCCTGGCCGCCCTCCAGTTCTTTGCTTCGTTCTCCCAGCCTCGGAACCCTGTCCTGGCCTGTGCACTGACTGCATCCCTCAGTGGTTCCTGTTTTCCAGGGTTGAGCTGGCTGGAGGACACTCGAGAGCAGGAGGGGGTCTGCCCACCTACCGGTGAAGCAGCAAGCCCGGTGCCTCTGACCAGCATCCTCTGTCAAGGTAAAGAGCCAGCCTTCCCTGCCCCCGTTGTTTATTCTTGGCCCCTACTTCGTTAAGCAGTGCTTTATTTTCAGGGTGGGTGCTTGGGAATGCACCCTTTTCTGGACCCTGGTTTCCTAGCAAAAAACAAAAACACTGCTCATGCCTGATCCTTGACATTTTAATAAGTTCTCTACTCCAGAACCGTGTTTTTCTCCGTTTAATTTGTTTCTGTGTTTTGTACCATCATTTGATATACTATGACATGCACTCTGCTCTGAGACTTTGAGACCTTCTTATAGCTCCCCCACCTTCCTTACTCTCCCAGGAATTCCTCAATTCCGTGTTAATTGCTTGTTAATTCCGAATGAGTCTGCTTTTTAATTAAACCACAATTTACTGTTTCCCCCCTTACTTCTGCTGTCACCTTTTCTCTACCTTCACCAAGAAATCTTTTGAGTAACCTAATTGACAACGGTTTGGTAGGTGAAGATAAATATATGGCTTGAAGTAAAAACTAAATTTGTGTACCTTCTCAGAGTATGAACAGAATGAAAGCAATATCAGCCCCGAAGCACTTCTGTATAATTATTTCTTTGGGCATTTGTGTGTGACAAATGCAGCTATACACCGCAGTTATTACAAAGAGGTAAATAATATTTGTTACACCTCAGGTGTTATAGAGAAATTTATAAAAAGTCATACATACTGGGCTTGGTGGCCCACATCTGTAATCCGAGCACACTGGCAGGAGGATCTGTGAGTTCAGCCTGGGCAGTGTAGTGATTTAGGGGGACCCTTTATCAAAATTTAAAAAAAAAATTTTTTTTAAAGCTTGGTGTGGTGACACATGGCTGTAAACTTCAGCACTCTGGGAGGCTGAGACAGTAGGATTCAAAGTTTGAGCTTAGCCTGGACAATTTAGGGAGACCCTGTCTCAAAAAATAAATAAATAAAAAAGACTGGAGAAGTAGTTCATTGTGAAGATCCTGGATTCAGTCTCAGTACTGAAGGAAAAACAAGAAGTTGCACATTGTCTTATTAATAATCATTTGACAGAAATTTAAAAACAAAGAAATGTTTTGATGTGTTTAGACATATGGGGCTTGATTTTGGTGCCTTTCATAAGTGAGTGTTCTCATCTCAGAACCCTTACTGAAAACTTGCTAGATTAAAACTTACGCGTCTGGGGGCTGGGGATTTAGCTCAGTGGCAAAGCGCCTGCCTGGCAAGCGCAAGGTCATGAGTTCGGTTCCCGGTACCGGAAAAAAACCAAAGAAAAAAAAAAAACAAAAAACTAAAACTTACGCGTCTAATTCATGTGGTCACATTTCTGCTGCCTATTTTGTTGCTGCCTTTGAAAAGGTACCAGAGGTAAGTTTGGGACATTAATGTAATTTCTAAAGAGTGAATATGAGCACAGCAGTTATACAAGAGTTAATTCACAAACCAGCCAAGTGAATGACTTCTCTAATATCCACTAACAAGAATGTAAAGTGACTTGTTAACCTCACAGTTATTTTAATATCTGAGATTGTGTAGGATTTTTTTGATTTAAAGAAGTACTTAAGATAGAGTTGTTGGGTTTTTTTAGCTAGTGCATATAGGTTATACAGTGGAATAAGTTTTATTTTGGCGTGTTTGTGTGTGCCTACAGGGCACTTGATAACTCCTTCCCCTCCACCACCACCCACCCGCTTCTCCAATAGGCTCCCTGTAGATTTTTTATTTAGCCCGTTCCACTGGACATTTTTTCTTCTGCAGAAATAAATATCTTTGCTGGTTCTGCTAATTCTCCTAACATAGCTAAAGGTATTTCTGAGAGAATCTGAGGATTTGCATGTTTTTGAGACCTAGAACTGGACACCAAAGGGGGAGGGCGTATTCTGAGTGAGATTTAGAATCAGTATCTACCAGTGACTATTCCACTGTGAAAATTTAGGACATCCTTTTGTCTGTATATAGGAATCGAGGGCAATTGACTATTTCTATAAAAGATAGGCAGAAATTTATAAAATTGAATGCTAATTTCTATTACTTAAATAGGAAAGTATAAAGGTAATATGATAATTAGGTAATATGGTAATAAGGATGCTTAGTGATAGTTTTAGAACTTTAAAAACTGCTAAAATACTTGAGATATATTTTAAAGGTCAAAACACAATATGTATTTTTTTCTGCTTTACATTTAACTGAAGGATATTTTCAAATCTAAGAGGTGTTTTCACCTGAGATGGTCAGGCAATCTGTCATTAACAAATAAGACTTGTAAAGAGAGAATGTTGCTTTTTCTCTGGTTTCTGGCCAGTTCATTCTTACTGCTTAAATAATATAGATCTGCTCATCTATTAATAGTTTTTCTAAGATTAGGCAATTTGTATAAATTGTCAGCTTCTATTATGTTTCTGGTATTAGCATGATTGAGAAACATTTAAGGTTAAGAAACATTTAAGATGGAGAAACATTTCAGATACATTTAAGAAACATTTAAGGTGGAGAAACATTTCAGATACGTAAAAAGATTACATTTTAAGATTACACCACTTAATTTAAGTATTAACTTACTAACATGGCCAGTTAGATAGTGTGTATTTTTCAGTCTGGCAGTCAACTTTTTGTTACTTCTATTGTCAGTCACATCATTTGGATTTTTTATTTGGTAAACAAATCCAGATTTATAATTATATAGGGAGAATAATTGATTTTAATTGAAGCTATTAATGATGCATCTGTAAGACACCATAGCTAGTAGTTTATTTTCACAATTATTGAATGTTGTGGTCTCTCTTTATTTTATTCCCATTTAACTTTAGTTACTTAGAGATACACAGTATGTCTAAAACGTTGCAGTCACGGAGAGTTTCTGTTACATCTAATATTGAACTTCCCACCTTTAATTCCATTCTCAGTTGAGTGCAGTCCCTAATTATAATGCTTGTCTTCTTTCTTTCTAGGCTGCCAAGACTGTATTGGCTTACATGGGTTCATAGAATAATATTAATAAGCCTCATCACTTATGTTTGGGATTTAAGCTTTGAGTCAGGTCTGGATAAATGAATTCTAAATTTTTGCTATTGTCTTAATCTACATTTCCTGAAAGTTACTGGCTTTTCTACTGGAACTCATGTGAGTCAAAGTTGTATGTGATGATAAATCCTAAAGTTATTTGGTGACCCAGTAATATGCAGGAAATACGATACCCTCACTTGTTTAGGAACATAAACACTATGCTATGTTGAGCGATACTAAAATAACACTTACACTTTATTTTGGGTTCCAGGCTTGAGATCATATAAGTAGAGCTCGTCACCATGCATCTCAGCCATGTTGTGTGTTTTGATTGGCCCTCTAGTGTTTCTGCATCCATCTTCCCTCTTAAGTCCATGAGCCATTGGTGGATTTATTTTTCTCAGAGCCAGTGTCCTTGGAGTTGCTGATGTTATTTCCTTACCAGCCTGTATTTTTTGTTTACTCTGCAACAAAATGCTTATTTCTTTTTTTGAGTTGCAAGCCGTTATCTTGTTTGTAGTTTGTGTCAAATCAGAAAGCACAGTACTAATTTGTATCACTTAATCAAAAGATATGTGGACTTATGGTGAAAACAGTGTGCAAAAAAACATTATTAGCTAGTCATTTATGCCAAGAGAAATTGGGGAAATGCAGTCAGGTTTAGTGAAGGTTATACAGTTTTGAACAGATCTTAGACTTCCTGGTTACGTGTTCATTGTGTGTGTTACTCTGTCAGTATAGGTTTTCTTTTAACTGTATGAAGCAGAAACTGTGTTTCTAACTAAAGGAAGTTCACTTGGCCTCTATGTAGAAATTAGGTAGTAATTTATCTTAAGTGTATAGTTTCAAAAGTTCAGAAGCCTAGATTAGTCTTCTTTTGATTCTAGATAGAATGGGAAAGATGAATTAGCAAAATTTCAACACAGTAGTAATGTTTAGCAATAAGACCTCATAGAAATGATATACACTGGGGAAATGGTTCATTTTGATACTTAATTCTAAAGACTTGCATGTTTGTATGCTTTTTTCTAACTGTGAAACACAGAATGGAATTTCTAAAAATTACCCTTAGAGCAACTCTTTCCTGAGTCCGTAACTCATCCTTAGGACAGCATCATACTGAGTATGTGTTATTTTGAAAATTGCCTCCTTTGCCCTATTCCTTTATTTTATAGGTGACTTCCACAAGCAATCAGGTTTTTAAAACTTGTATTCCTTGGCGGGAGACAGGCTTTTTACATTCTCATGTGTGGCCTTCCTCGGTTTTTAGTATTTGCTGCTAAGTTCAGTAGTGTTTTTTTTCTTTTTATTTATACGTCCATGAGTAGCTATACTCTGTGAACTGCGGCTCTAGCACTGCACTTAGGAAGAAATTAAGTACTTATCTGATGCTTTGGCCTAGGGAGGTGTTTTGGTGATAAACCTTCGTCCTTCATAATTCACAATGGTGCAGCTCTCTGGGATCGTGTGTACATGGTATGTGTGTGTGTGTACGTGTTTGCCCCTGTAAGGACTGATGTACCAGGCACCTGCAAGGAGTGCTTTTTGGTTTAAATCTATTACTATGTATAGTGCTTGTTATTATCAGAAAAGAGAAATATAAACCTGGAATTTCCAGGATTTAAAAAAATATATAAGTATGCAGAACTCTTTATTATAATGACACCTAGAGCTGATACCTATGGCCAGGGCTTGACATTGTGCTGGAGACACAGCAGGCATTGAGTGGCCATTGGTTTGTCTGAGTGAAGTAGCTAGATGGAATTATGACACGCTCTTATGATTTAGCGTCTTTCTTGTGGGGAGAAATAGTACAGGCACTTCAGCTTTTAAAACCTAGCCTTTTCCTGATATTGGTAATAAAGACTGTGCATGTTTTCTCAATGCTTGTCTCTCACATTCTCCGCATCATGCCCACCCACCTCCTATGGAAGTGATGATGGGTATTCAGAGGCCAGCAGAAGCCACGGAGAGTCTCACAGACTTGAAACAACATTTTGTCATGTCCACTTCCCTTGGGAGGCAGGAGGTGTTGGGGACACTCTAAGAAGTGAGGTGTCTGGCGCTGTCCATTCTCGACATGTAACTGTCACCCATGTGAAAAAGTCATTGCAACTCCTGTGTGGAAAAGTATGAGGCTCACTATTGTAAAACAGATGTGCATTTTAAAAACAGACATTGTTTTAGCATTTAGGAAAACTGCAACAATCATACAGAGTCTCTATAGCCAGTTTCTCTTGTTAACATCTTACGTTAATGTATGTCATCTCCTCAAGAAGATCTAGATAAATTATTTGGAATCCTCAAGAGGTTTGTTTCTCCCTCTATTATTTATGTCAATATAGACTCAATTATATTTATTTTGTACTTTGGGTTATAATCCAAACTATTTGAAGTATTTCTTTGCTCCAGTGGTTCAACTTTGGCCATTGCGAGCTCTATCAGTTGGTTCTTTTATCCCTTGAATGTACCCCAGAGGATTTTCTTTGGGCATATAGCTTTTTCTTTCTGGTACTATATGATGTTCCAGGCTTATATATTTTCTGCCTCAGTCTTAAAATCAGGCATTTCTATAAGGCCCTTTTGTTCTGCATTGCTTATACTTGGCCTTGTAGGAGTTATTCTGATGATGTCTACTTCATTTATTTAAAAATAGTAGGTAGTGTTTTATATCAAGTTTTATTTCCAAGTGCAAGTTGACAGTTTCTGCCTTCCTTGGAGAAGTTTGAAAGGAAAAATGGGATGTGAAAAAAGCAAAAGGTAGAAGTGGATTATACTAATTTAGATGGGTTGAAAATTCTTGTGTGCGGCCAGCAGCATCTATAACGGCTGCCTTTTTTTTCTGCAGTGTGACGGGTTGCCAGATGGCCTGTCCTTTCCCTGTCTGAAGGTTTAAGTCATACGGGGCTTGGCACCCCACCACCAGGGAAAGGAGTGGCAGTCCTCCCAGTACGTAATTCTTGGAGTGGTTCTGTTGTGATGTGTGGAGGTCATTTTGCCTGTGTCCTTAACCTTGATGGAATTTGTGGAACTAGGATTCAGTTGACATGGAGAAAGATCCCTTTTAGTCGTAGGGTGAGTCTTTGCAGAATTCGTGTGGAGAAGCTGAAAAGCTATTGTAAATGTTTTACCTAGTTGGGTAAGTGCATGAAAGGTAACAATTTCAGTGTTACAGACTTTATGCCTTTCAAGCATATGAAGAACCAATATTTAAAGATATAATCTTGTAGATTCCATTTTGGCCCTGTCCAGTATTCAATGCATATATATTCTTTTTAGTCCTGTTTAGAAGGAGTAGGTGATTGATGGTGTCAGCTAAAAAGTAATTCAAGTGAAGCAAGTCTGTAGATACATTGTAGAGAGAAGAAAAAGAAGCAGCTTTGCTGGTATCCAAATTGTAAATGTATGATTTATTTTTTTACAATTTTTCAAAAAACTACATGGTGGGGAAGAGAGGTGAAATTCTGAAAAAAAACTTTGAAACCACCTTGGAGAGTACTGTAAAAGATCATTTCTAAAGATTTATCTGAGTTCTTTGTTATATAGTGCTAAAATTTAAATTTATCGAAAAGTAGACTCTGTAGGCAGCTATGATTCTTAATTGTAAGGAACTTTCCTATGATTGTTATTTGATTTATTTTTAGGTTAAGAAGTTCTTTGGCTCTGTGGCCTGAACATACCCAGAATCTCCTCCCCACGATGTTGTATGTGCACAATGGTTATTAGGCGATCCATATCCCAGGAGAAGGGGCACTCTTCTGTAAGGTAAGATGACTCACGGTCACCCGTCATCTGTGCTATTTTGAGGGAAAACCTGGTCAGTTTGTACTTTTTCCTTGCAATCAGTGAAGGTAGGGGGGTGTGGCTCAGTGGTAGAACACATAATTAGCAAGGCCCTAAGTTCTATTTCTGCCCCTCTCCCCAAAAAATTAAATAAAAAATGTGATAAAAATTATGAATCAAAAAAAGCAGTTAATGTGTACTAAATATAGCACCTGCTAGAAGAAAATCCAGGTTTGTTTTGATATTATTTCCATTTTTTTTCTTGGATAATAGACCTTTAAAATAACCATTCCAGTTAAAACATTGTTAGAGGTGATTGTTCTGATCATGTAGTAGTAGTTTCCATTAATTTCTGCTGATGATCTTCAGCATTTTATATTACTGAGAGAAATAAGCAAAAACTTATCCTGAAAGGACTTTTTTCTTAATATCTGTAAGACAAGATACTTAATTGTAGGGATATAATTAAGTGAAGAGATAGAAGAAAATTTTGTTTATTAAGAGAACAAATAGTCAAGAAATCTCTCATTTCCCAGTTTTCTCTGAGAACATAGCTATTCTTACACAAGTAGCATGACTTTTATATCACATTTAGTAGTAATACTTAGCTTGTAGTAACATTTTCTAGGTATAAAACCACGTCATACATTTATACTTTTAAGTTGTGGTGGTTCAACCTAAGTTAGGCTTAGTTTATCTGAGTACAGTCGGTAATGAAGAGTTTTACGTGATAAATTACTGTTGATAGCAAGATTATCCTGAGATGTCTAACCTACATATGAGAACAAAATGTCTTCAAAGGGCTCTATCACAGAATTTTTTATTTTTAGAAATAGAAGCTACTAATTAAGCCATGAGTCTGATCTATTCTTTCAAATTAGCCCACTTTCAGTGTCTTCGTAGAAGCTTGTTTAGGTCCCTGTGTATACTTAACAGTTTAAAAACACACTCAAAAAGTTTTTGTATATGCATATATAAGATTATAACCTCTCACCATTTTATTTTGGGATTTTCCTATTTGTATGAAGAGATCCCGTTTTATATTGGATTTCAGTACATATAGACACTTGTTTTGTGGCCTAGCAGAGATTATGGGAATTCTAGATATTTTCCTTTAAAATAATTTTATCATGAGGTTTATTAACAAGTTGTTTAGATTCTTAGAATTTTGGAATGTACTGTATGATCTTGCTACAGAGGCTGTGGTAGATAAAGGGTTAGTAAAACATACATGACATAACCTAAAGCAGGAAGCCCTGGTGGAAAGAAATAGAAATAGAAGAAAGGTGAATGTAATTCTGACATTTTACTCTCATTTGCTTAACCCACCCCACTTCTTGTTCCCCAAGCCTTCACACCTTGGAGTAAAAATAAAATGTTGGGCTAAAAGTAAAATGTTTTCGAACTGCTTCAGAGAACTAACCTGATGCTTTTTGTTTGTTTTGGGGTGTGTGTGTGTGTGTGTGTGTGTGTGTGTGTGTGTGTGTGTGTGTGTTTGTGTTGGTTTTCGCTAGGAGTCAAAGCCAGGGCCTTGTGCATGCTGGCACTCTACTGCTGAGCTACAACCTTAGCCCTAAGCATAAAGGATTTTTTTTTCTTTTCTGCTCTTCATAATTAAATGTATGGATTGTCCATTTGATACTCCATACTTAACTCTGATCTGTGATAATCATCCTTGAACAGTTTACAGCTTAACTCTCCTCTGTGGTGTACCGTGTAAGTCAGAACTCCTAAAACAGGTACCAATCTGACCCCACTGCTGTTGTCTATTTGTTAGCTACCTAGTATCACCTCCTGCTTTACGTAAAATATATCTGTTATGTTTATAAGTTGTTTGTTTTGAGTGTTCAAAAGGCTGCAAAAGAAATTTTCTGCTCAAGAGTTCAAGGGGTTTTGTGCCTAGATTTCCCTTTAAAATCATTTCTAATTTTGGCAAACTTACTGAAAATTTTGGTCTTAACGATACATGTTAACCAGCGCTATAAACAGATTACTTAAATTTACTGCTTTAGCAAATAGACAGTGGTGTAATATTTGATGGACACAGTACCAGAAGCCACTTCTAAAATTTATGTGTTCTACCTTCCCTGAAAGGCTGATCCCTGTGACCTAATGAAACCTTGTTAAAAAGTGGACTCAGCTAGGATGTTACACCACCATTGTCGAAGGAATCCTGAACTCCAGGAAGAATTGCAGATTCAGGCTGCAGTGGCCGCTGGGGATGTTCACACCGTACGAAAAATGTTAGAACAAGGCTATTCTCCAAATGGTCGAGATGCAAATGGCTGGACCCTGCTTCATTTCTCTGCAGCAAGAGGAAAGGAAAGATGTGTTCGAGTATTTCTAGAACATGGAGGTGAGTTTGCTAGAAGCAAACCTTTTTCCCAAGGAGAAACTTAAAATGAAATCATATTTAATTTAAAATGTGTGTGTGTGTGTATACGCACATGTGTAGGTGTATAATTTTTAATGCTTCTCCTTTGACAGTATTCAACACTTGTTCTCCTTTGTGAAGATTTTGAATAAAATATTTTAAAACCGCATTGTTCAAGAAATGAATTTGGTAAATGGTCCTTGTCCCCCTCAGATACTGCTTTTGTATGTAGCCGAGTTACTTCAAGTAAGCAACCCTTGTGGAGTTGTGCAGTAGTTACTTGTGTTTTAGAAGCCGAAATAATCGTGGTATTTACCATTACAGAATTGCATGCTTCTGGTTGGTAGTTGCTCAAGCAGAGACTTAGCACAGGTTGTTCCTAACCTCTTGGCCCTAATGGTATCTTAGACTTTGACTTCATCTTTCTTTCTGTTTTGGATACTTTCTATTCCTGTTTTAGAACATTCATTTGCCTTTTCTGGAACTTGTGGGTTTCTAGATAACCTACAAGACCTGTTATCTGTGATCTATCTCTGTATTAATATATTTAGTTGGAAACTACATTTGGCATTTTGTTGTTGCTTCCAAAAACTCAATTTCCGTTGGTTTTTAAACTAATCATTGTCCCAAACCACCTTGGTTTTTTCCTCCAGTTGAATTTCAACTGCTTTGTTTTCTTAATGGTGGAGTGTACATATTTTATCATTTATACCTACATTAGCTCTATAATTGATGATGTAAAACAGTTTGGTTGAGACTCAAGTTACACATATGCCATTCTAGGGCCTGAATTGCTCGTTAGCAGTGATTTAGTTTCATTCTTAAGCAATACTTTGTTAAAAGAGTAGTCAAACTTGCTTGAATTCTAAAGTGCAGGAAAATGTTAGAAGCCCCACAGCTTTCATGTAGATCCAATAAATTATGTGACTGTATTAATATAAAGTCTGTGGGCGTGGACTAGTTGCAGGAGAGACTAAACCTGGGACTGGGGATAGTTACAGGCCCCCTGAAGTGGGAATTAGATGCCTGAAATAGTTGATTGTGAACAGGACCTAGAAATTTGCTGGCCTGTGCCTACTTTCTAGCTGACTCACACATCATTTCACCTTACAACTTGAAAACCTCAGTTCCGAAGTTAATGAAGGGGAAATGTAAACAGAATGCTAGGAGAAAGATCTAAAAAACCAAAAGGTGGATTAAAACCTTAAAATTCTGGCAATACTTAGGAAAATTAAGAACAAGATGAGAGTTAACATTTGTGTTTCCACCTAGGATGTCCTTAACATAAATGCAATGCATCTTTAAGTAAACTACAACTAAGCACCAAATCCGCTATGACGAGCCCCAACCCTTGTCTGCCTAGAAGTAACCGGGGGTATCAGCTTGGTTTGATGCTTATACTTCTGAATCACGTCCTATTGCTATTACATGAACTCATAAAAATTATGTCATATTGTGTGCAGGTTTTAAACATAAGGAATAAAAAATATGCTGTCTTACTAACCTGCAGTAGTTTATTTTTACTCGATTATGTGACTTAAAGATATTTTTAATATCAGAGATCTACTGTAATGTGGCCCTTGTTCCAATAAAACTTTATAAAAACCAATGGTGGGGAAAACAGGAAAACCAGTGATGGACCACGTTAGGCTTTTGGACCACAGTTTCTAAACTCCTCTATCTTATCTATGTGTGCACACATATGTGTATATTTTACTGAAAAAACTGAAGAGGGCTTGTGGTATATTCCAGTGGTAGAGCTTTTGCCTACCATGTACAAGGCCCTGGGTTTGATTCCTAGGACCACTCAAATACAAAATAATAGGTGAAATTCACACACTGTGCAGTTCATTCATTTATAGTGTACAGTCTAATGACTTTTAGTATATTCATAGAGGTGGTCATCCATCACCACCATCAATTTTAAAATGTCATCATTATTCCAAAAAGAAACTTTATATGCATTTTATATTAATATATATAAATTTATTCTTTTCAATATATTTATGATATAGGTACACTACTATTTTTAGCTATTATTTTTTGAGCAGGATAAAATTCGGTCAGTAGATTTTGAGAAGATAATATGCACATACATGGTTAAAAGCTAAGTGAAAGGTACTGTAGATTTTGAATGAGGGGTAAATGGATACTCTTTAATCCCCTTCACTTAGGCTATGTGCAGAGGCCGTCACTCCCATTGGCTTCTTCGGTACCCACGGAAATGTTCTGTGCACAGAGGCATAAGTGTTTTTCCATCTTCTACCTGCTGGCTTGCTCTCCTTTTTAATGTTCTGTTCTGTATTCCTGATTTTTGTTGTGTCATAGCTTAGTGATAGTTCCTTGTCAGTCTACACTTTTGTCTCAGGTTCTATTGTATGGATGTCATTTATTTATACTAAACTCTATTTTCATCCTTCTGCTAGAAATAGTATTGCAGAGCATGTCCTTCACTGATGCTTTATGTATGTGAGAATTTCTCTCTTGAGTAATTCCTAGAAGTGCATTTGCAAAGTCATTTTTTTAAAAATAAGTATTGACAAGTTTTTCCCCGAAGAGGCTATAATTACCTATGTCCTTGCTGACTGGATGGGATAATGCCCATGCTCCCAGGAGTGTACTGCCAGATGGTTTGCTGTTTCCTTTGTGATTTACTTTTTTTGTTTTTAACCAGAAATCATGTGTGAGTAACAAAACATTACAAGACTAGGCTTTCTGTCTATTTCTTATTGACGATTGACTTTGGAATTGTTTATATATTCTTCTCCATTAGCTGTATGTTGCAATAGTCCTCCCCCTACTCTGTCGTTTTTTTCACATTCTTGATGTCCTTTTTGTTACTGGGCAGAATTCTTCATTTTAACTAGCTGAAGAGTATTTTTCTTTGGACTATGACTTAAGCCTTTTGTGTCTTGTTTAGGAAATGCTTAATACCACCGTATTTTTCACCTGTATTTTCTTCTGAACTTTCTTATGGCATTTAGGTTGTTATTCTGCCTAGAATTGTTTTTGCTTGTTCTAGGAGATGTGCAGGTACAATTTCACCTCTTCCAGCATAAAGCTAGCTTAAATTGTCCCTTTCTTCATTTCATTTCATTTCATCTTACTTCAGTTTTCATTTCATATACATATATGATTCCACTTCTGAGTTCTTACTTAGTATCCCTGGATTAATAAAATAATGTCTTAGTTACTGTTGCCCTATAACAAGTTTTGATATATTTTTACGACAACAAAAATGTTTTGGAGAACCCCTTCCGTTGTTCTTTTATTGACTTTCTTATCACTTGCCTAGAATGTTTCTCATAACACATGGTGACTGTGTTTCAGAAATCGTTTGGAGAGGGCACTCCCTCTCTCCTCCTCCCCATGGCTACCCATAGTGCTTAGGGCTGTCCATGTTTAGTGCGGTCCTGGCTTCTGGTCTCTAGATGGTTGTGCCCCATGTCGGGTCACCCTCTCCACTCTCACGCTGTAGACATTGTACAGTCCGGCGGTTGCCCCCACTGTTCCCTTCCCCAGCAGTGGCACTACAGCTTAGGATTGTCATTCCAAAAATCCAGAAACTACCATGTGAACCTTTTCCCTCATCCCTGATGTGGCAGCTTACAAAGTCTTTTTGATCTTGCCTGGTAACTATAAAAAGTTTTCACCAAAGACACTACCCCACTCTTCAGCATGAAACTTCTTTCCCTACCAGAAGTATTGCAGTGATTTCCTTTATCCCTGCATCCAGTCCTGCGCCCTTGCCTGAAGCCTGTCTCCAAGTAGCAAGACATACTAGAAATGCACTTTCAGTATCTCCATTTGGGAATCCCTCATTGCTTTCTCACTTCCCCCGATACTGCTCCAAGTCCTTCCTGTGATGTGCACATGGTGTCTAGCTCCTCGTAGCTCCGGCTGTGGCTGAGCGGCAGCCCCCCTGCCTCCTCACAGTCCCCAAGCCCAGGGGCAGGTCACTCTTGTTCCCTCCCTCTTGCTCATGCCTACTTCTCTCTCGGCCGCTTGGGAAAACCTTGTCTTTCCACCTGGGCGTGGTCAGATGAGCTCTTCCGTATGTGCCTGACAGGGCATATTTCTATTCCCCTTCTGATGAATGATAGTATTCCCTGGACCTATTTCTTATGGCACCTAGCATAAGCATAATGAATTACTTTATAATAATCTGTTCAGCATCTGTATCTGCAGTTCATGTAAAGCTTTTTCGGGGCAGAACCTACACCTGTTTGGTTTGCAGTGAGATAGAAAACTGACACCAGCCATCTAAGATAACTGTCTCCTAGCCTTACAGAGATAAGACTGATATTTTCTTCTATCAAAAAATACTGATTGAAAATGGGCCAGCCTAGTGGTAGGGTTAGAAAGTTGCCCACATTCACTATACTTCTCTCTTCAAAAATCATCAAATAAGAGGAAATTTGTACCAAAAAAAAAAAAATTGTAAGAAATGAGAGTTCACTTTTTGATTTTTCTCTTCCTCTTCCTTTTCATTTTCTTCCCTTTTCTCCTGCTTTTGTGTGTGTGTTTGTTTGTAAAGAGAGTAAGAGATCTCATAGACAGATGAGGTGGCCATTTGATCCCATGTAAGTATTTATCTAATTCATATATTTATTCAGCACCTAATATATGCCAGGTTCTGCAGTAGGCACCAAGGTAGAGAAATAAACATGGTGCTAGCTTTTTGGCATTTAATAATCCAGTGGGTGGGTAGGTTTACAGCCAGAATTTACTGAACATTTTATATACGCCAAATTCTTTCTAACAATTATATGGGGTTAATAAGTTACTAGTTTTCACATTGGGAAAAGCAAGCCCCAGAAGAGTAATTTGTGCAGGGTCATTCGCCTGAGCAATAACAATGGAACTTGAATTCAAACCATAATCTTAACCGTGGTTCTGTATTGTCTGGAAGAAAAGTAAGCGGTTCCAACAGAGCAAGTACAGTTCCGTGTGTGATAGCTCCTCCCTTTCTCCTGGGGCCG